ACCTAGAACAGTAACTAAAGAAGTAAAGCAAACAATTATCTCTTCTAGTTACGACCTTTGAACTTGGTTGCTGCTCGACATAGGTTGCTAAGCCTTTAAAAAATTGCATATGGAGGATATGAAACAATTTTTATTTAGTTTTTATATATACATTTGACTAACTAAAAAAATCATAAATTACTACATTAATACCATAGAATTCCACTATAATTTATCAAGCTTAGTAACTAAGATATATTTTAGTCTAAAAAAATGCATGTCCAAAGGTTTTTCGTGTGAAAAAAAAAGATAGAAGCAGATAATTTGGCTTTTGGACTTTCTAAATGTCTGAGGAATGTCTGTGTTCACTAGTACCGGATGGACAGCAGCTGAAACAGATGGTATCCTCAGAATGGTCTCTATGCAAAGATTCAGTTTTACTATATTTCAATTAAGGGGTTTTCTCCAGCTTCCTTCTGGACTCAGCATGACAATTAGTGGCCCTTTTACACTAGCCTGGTATTACCTGTGTTATACACACACAAAAGTAGTAGAGTACTGAGCACAGAGTCACTAATATGATTCTTCTTGGATCTCATACTTGAAGGTTTTCAGAGTGCTTTGATAATCATGGATAAAAAATGAGTTAAGGTGGAATATGAACACAGTGTATACAGTATGTGAAATTTGTATGGATAAGTTATGAATATGGATAAAAAGTGATCTTCCGCTTCTTTTTATTCTTAGTAGTTTTAAATGTGTGTGAAATAATAAAGAAGTTTAAGGAGTGGACAAAGATCCCATGTGAATAAGTTATGAACATATAAATCCAACATTTCAGGATATTTTGTTGACTTGCTTTGAGAAACTTTTGTAAATGAAAGTTAGCTTTGGTGGAATACATTCTAATTAAAAGCCATTTACGAATGTATTGCCTGTTACAGCTACTAGAGAGTCATGAAAACTTTCCATGAGAGCAGGTATGTCTTTCACACAACAGGAAGAAATCTTGGTCAACTTAAATTGCTCCTGATTGCAGTCATGGCAGCTTCTATGAAATTTCTGATAAACATGATTCATTTTACTTTATGGAAGATGTTTTCTTTCTTGATATAACAGATTTATTCCAAAAAGATTTATTCTTTTTTACATCTATTTCATGTAGACTTCAGCTTCTATAACTATAGGAAACCTTACAAACATGTGGGCATCATCTACCAATTCATTGACAAGGAGGTATGGAATTGTGTCAAAGCTCTGCCACATTATGACTACTCAATTCACAACAGTCAGTAGCAGTCTGTTAAACATCACCACAACCTGTAGTCTGATCTATACTTCAGAGATCAAAAGTTGCTGAAAAACTGTTATAGAACTGATCTAGAATTTTGAGGAATCTTGCATCTGTGAGCAGGATTTCACATAAATCACCAGACTGGCACCAAATTGGCAAACATTCATCATCCCCAGACTTAACAACCATCATTCGTAACTATGATGGTTGCTAGCTGAAGCATATCAGGTTGCATAGTACTTACGAAACCTAGTGTAATATTTTAGTTGTATCTTAGAACTTTGTACGGTAATACTGAGAATACCGTATACTAATATCATTCACCTAGTATAAAAAAGTAAAAGATTGAGTATCATGTCAACTGTAAAACATGCTATTTGGAACACAGATACCAAAAAAAATTTGAATGAACAATGAAGAAGTCAATTTTACAATTATAATTTGAGGTGTTTTTTCTTTTTTGATCACAGACATTGAATATACATCATAGTATGTATTATCGATAAAAACGTTGTTCAACACACCTAAATGAATTTAAAAAAAATAAAATTTTAGTTATTTATATTTTATGACAAATATGGTATGTGTCAATTGGCTTACTTACTGGAAATGCACTTTTGTGAGTTGCATGAGTGGTAACAAAATGCATATGTACAGACACAAGTTAACAAGTACACTCCTGATAGTTTTTCAAAATATTTATATCTTCCAAGGCTAAGACCAAAAAGAAATTAAACCTACTGTTACAAAGCACCTTCTAATTTCAACAGAAAAGAATTAAAATTAAGAATGCATTTACATTAATTTTCATGTTTTGCTTTGGAACAGCAAACTTTTATTCTTCATGTTTTCATAACATACAACCACAAAATTACCTTGCATCATTGAATTTGGTGGGTTAGATCCTTCTCCTTGTACAGAGCCCTGACCAGCACTCTGAGGTCCTGGACTCTGCATGTGGTTAGGGCCTTGTGAGTTTGGAACAGGTCCTTGGAGGTTGGGGTTCTGCATATGCCCAGGCCCTTGGGGATTGGGACTCTGCATTAGTCCCGGTCCTTGAGCATTGGGGTTTTGCATAAGCCCAGGTCCTTGAGGGTTTGGACCTTGCATGTGTCCAGAACCTTGAGGATTTGGACTCTGCATATGGCCTGGGTTTGATGGAGATGGAGCAAAACTTTGAGGAGGCTTAAAATCAAAGAATAATTACAATTTGAAAATCCTCCATACACAATATTAAACAGTAGTAAGAAATATTGATTAAAAACATAGGATTAATTGTAGATGCACTTGCCAATCACTGTTAGTATTATTTTATCGGTAAGAATCATTAGATCATGTAATTTTAGTTTTATATTTCTATATTTATACAAAAAAAGGACTCATAACACTCATGTGAGTATTTTAATATGTGTATTTATACAAAATGAAATTATTAAAACATGGCTTGAATATTTTGAATATGATCTACTAGGTAAATTTTTTTGTTGTTTATCATTTATAATACATAGTATATATATATGACCATGCTCATTTCTATAAGTTGGCTTATTTCAGGTATGAGGTAAAAAAACTTTGGCAAACATTCATGGTTAAGATAGTTAATCCCTAGATATAATTTAGTGATCTAATTTTTTCCTTTTAAAAGTACTTTCTAGTAAGTCACATCTACATAAATAATGCTGTCAAAATAAATTATCATTCATATGAATCGTAACCGAACTCACAGGAAGGTGTGCTTGAATATTTGGGCCAGCATCAGCTACTGAAGCAAGATATACCAGATTTCTGTGCAGAATTTGTTGGTACCTGTAAGAGTTGTAATAACATCAGCAACTAATCAAGTAACATTCAGCAACATAAAAAAAAGCAAGATTGATTCATGGTTATGAAATTGTTTGGCAAACCAGCCAACTTATTTTTCATGTGAAAACTAATATACTGTATTTCACATCTAATATCTATATGAAGTTTACTTAAGTATTACAAAACTATACATTGATTTTTTTTTTACTAATATGCAAGTTATGCAAATGAGAAAACAGTAAATTCATTATAAAGAAATGTTTACACACATATTAGTTAACAAAAAAAACTTTGTTCACCCAATTTACAAGTTTCATATTACTTTAGAAAGAAAAACTGATGTAATGACATTAAGGTAAAAGTAAAAACTGATACAAGATTTCTAAAGCTTACTGCCTAGTCATAATGGTTCCTCATACTTTGTATATGTACCAGAGAAAGAATTTAACATTTTAAAGTATAAATGTTACCAAAACTTGTGTGTGGCAAAATTATAACTCAAATTGTAAATACTTTTCCACAGTAACTCTTTTCATGATAGACATTTCATAAAATGAACAACTTTTAGACAAGCAGAAAGTAATGACAGTGACCAGAAGAAACTTACAAAAACAAATGTTTAAATATAACGGATGTGCTAGTGACTTGAAACACAAAAACAACATCTTTAAATTAGGCCTCAACAAATCTTGGACTCTAAGTCACCATGGTGACTAAACATTATTGTGGCACCTACTATTTTCTCCCATTTTTTTCATGCATATGATTGTGCTAAATAGAACTCAAATCTAGAACAGCTCCGGACTCTTGGAAGTCTGAAACTATTTTTTTGCATTCTTTGAGTCCTAAATCGAGCTTTGTTTCTATGATTTTAATGGTGGATTCAGCACTTCATGTTTTTTCAGGAATGAAGCACTGTGGTTGCACAACACGTTACTAATTTTGTGCCTTTTGTTTTTCTTCTTTCTCTCAATTCAACCAATCAGTGCGTGTGTTTTGACAGACTGGACCAAAGGCAGTTAGTTCAGGCAATACTATCAAGTGGTTATTGATATCATGTGTTCGTTAGCATACTCTCATTGCTGTGAAAGTAAATAAATATACAGTAGGCCCCATTTCCAGGTACAAACAGTAGTGACGTTAGGTTAGACACACCTAGCTCCTGAGTTTTTGGGCTGGCTCTTAGATCTGAAAATATTTATTGAGGCCTGCTTTAAGTGATTAACAAATTTTATTTAACCTTTAATAAATAAAAAAATAAACTTCATTAATTCTTAAAGATATTTTAATAAGCTCATCTGTTAAAACTCTTATTTGCATATATACATATGTAACGTTTTCTGATTTTTATTAATTACTTTTCCCAACCATCTTCTAACTCGTACTTTGATGTTAAGTATTTCAATGAATTCTGCATTTTATCAGTATAGGTAAATCTTCAAAAAATAAAACAATCAAAACTGAACAGATCCGTCAACATGAGAACATACAAACAAACTTATTCTCAAAATTTATCATTTTAATGAATGGATTAAAGAACATTATGTACCTTTTCCAATATAATCAATTCAACAGAATGTTTGCATATATGCAATCAAAACCAAATTATTTATTCTGTTATTCCAAGATTTCCATTAAACAACAAGAAACAGAATTATTTATATCTATACAACTCAAATGAATAAGGTCTCTTCATATCCATCCAACTCAAGTAAATAACATCTCTATATATCCACCCAACAAGAGAGTAATGTATCTATATCCATCCAATTCAAGGGAATAAGGTCTCTTCATATCCATCCAACTCAAGTAAATAACATCTCTATATATCCATGCAACCCAAGTAAATAAGGTATCTTCATATCCTCCCAACAAGAGAGTAATGTCTCTATATCCATCCAATTCAAGGGAATAAGGTCTCTTCATATCCATCCAACTCAAGTAAATAACATCTCTATATATATCCACCCAACAAGAGAGTTAATGTCTCTAATTCAAGGGAATAAGGTCTCTTCATATCCATCCAACTCAAGTAAATAACATCTCTATATATCCATGCAACCCAAGTAAATAAGGTATCTTCATATCCACCCAACAAGAGAGTAATGTCTCTATATCCATCCAATTCAAGGGAATAAGGTCTCTTCAAATCCATCCAACAAGAGAATAATGTCTTTTCTTATCTATACAATGCAAGTAATAAGGTCTCTTCATGTCCATCCAACTCATGTGAATAAAATCTTCATATCTATCACACATGTGAATAAGGTCTCTTCATATTTATACAATTCGAGTGAATAAGGTCTCTATATATACAAATGATGCAACTAAATAATGTCTCTCCATATCCATCCAACTGAAATGGAATGTTTTCACCATAAATAACTTTAGGTACTAAATTACCTTCAATTGTTGTATTTAGTTGCTGTATACTACTTACTGAAGACATTCTGAAGCTTTTCCCTTATTCTGATAGTCCACAATAGCTTGAATCAACTGACTGTTTTCATCTAGCATCTAGGAAAAATAAGGAATAGAAATATATTAATCATAAATATAAGTTAGAAGCTATTATCAAATTATCCAGTTTGTTATAATTTCTGTTACAAAATGATTAAAAATGAAATCAATGTACTACACAAGTAGTATTTTGAAGACATTAGCCCTGTGCAGAAAAAGCAAATCTTTACAAAAACATAACTTCTTGCAAGTGCCAGTAAATTTAAATTTTAAGTATTGGTGGAAATCTATTTTAACTGGGTAACCAGCCTGGAGGGGAAATACTTAACATTAAAAAATTACATCAATTATCTGTAAAGTAACAATTATTTGATTAAAAAAAGCTGCAGACAGTTCTGTCACTTCTAATATGAACTTATATGTACAAAACAACTAAAGCATCAAACTTGTCATGCCAAGTGATTTACAACTTATAAATAGTAGTTAGACATGGTTTGAGATGAAGAAAATTATTTTTAATCTTAATATGAAAATCACTTTGCACTCAGACTGGTCCAAAAAAGACTCAATGTATTCACGGACAAATCTTTAGTAAAAATACGACTTCTAATGTTTACTAAAAGCCTGCTAAATTTTGTGAAGATTCATATACTGTATTAAAAGTTATAGTATTGTTACTATATACAAGCAAAATTGATCACGTTTCAACATCTTACTGATGATAACATTTCCCATACACTCTACATGTTTTGATGTCTTACTGATGATAACATTTCCCATACACTCTACATGTTTCGATGTCTTACTGATGATAACATTTCCCATACACTCTACATGTTTCGATGTCTTACTGATGATAACATTTCCCATACACTCTACATGTTTCGACATCTTACTGATGATAACATTTCCCATACACTCTACATGTTTCGATGTCTTACTGATAATAATATTTCCCACACACTCTACATGTTTCGATGTCTTACTGATGATAACATTTCCCATACACTCTACATGTTTCGACATCTTACTGATGATAACATTTCCCATACACTCTACATGTTTCGACATCTTACTGATGATAACATTTCCCATACACTCTACATGTTTCAATGTCTTACTGATGATAACATTTCCCATACACTCTACATGTTTTGATGTCTTACTGATGATAACATTTCCCATACACTCTACATGTTTCGACGTCTTACTGATGATAACATTTCCCATACACTCTACATGTTTCAACATCTTACTGATAATAATATTTCCAACATTTTCCCATACATTCCATCAGTTTCATCAAGTTCAAAATGTACTCTGCTATTCAATAAGAATAGCAACTGGCATCATCTATGGCTTGAAGCTTCTCTTGAAGTCTTTCCTTCATAATTACAGAACATTTAGGGAAGAGTTTAATAATTACTTTTCTATATGTTTAACTTTTTAACAAGATACTCACATGAACAAGTTCTTGTACTTAGGTTAACTGTTCTTATAACTTGATGGAAAACTGGCATACAAAAAACTTCATTTCTAGGGTATAATGGGGGAACATATGACCTTTCTAGGCTATTCCATTTTTCTACTACTGCCATTCTTCAAGCTACAGATAGAAATCCCCTTTCCGATATCTAACTCTGATCCTTAAGCTACTTATCTTATACCTGTTTAAACTCCTTCAATATTGCAGCCTCTACAAGACCACAAAATACTCCATAGACAAATCACACTATTAAATTACACTGAACATAACATTCCAGATGAGGTCTCACCAGCACCTAACAGAAGGAACCAATGACTAGTAGAGCAGGGTGATTAACTTGATATAATCAATCACCTGTAAGCAGGGCCAGCCCAACATAATTTTTTTGTAATTAAACTTTTAGCCATACTTGTCTATTTATAGCCATGATATACATATCTGGCTAAATATATGTAGGGTTCTCCCTAACTTCTGATAGAAGAGGACCAAGTGAAGATTGAAAAGGTTTAAATGGTGGGTGGTTAAGATGCCTGCCTAGATTCCATTGCCAGTTCAGGGAAATGCCCATAGGGCATCTGGGGGACAAAATCCCCACTTGAAAATGATTTTCAAGAATTCTGAGGAATTAAAAAAGCCTATCCTGGACTCTTATATTTTGAAATATCAGTTATTTGAGAATAAAATTAATAAAACTAATGAATATAACCATAAACTAAACTTTTAGAAATTTTCCATTCTCATTACATCACATCAATTCTAGAACTCTGTAGCCAACAATACAAGAATCTAACTATAAAAGCTTAGTTCAAAACAATCTCACTAAAATATTTTGTGAAATTACAGCTTTTCCCTAGGTTCAAGAAGCCAAATTAAGAAAATATCAGTTTCAACAAAACTTTTTGCCAATCTGATAATAAGCAAATACAAATACAGTCTTAATTGCCTCAGTTTAATTTTTTGTGATCACATTTTTCTGCTCCAAGCAGCAAACAAAATTGTTTAACCTATTAATAGCTTAATGTAGTGCTTGCTACATTTTTTTGTTCTAAAATGCATATCTGAAAGAAACATTAATGATTTTGTGGAGAACTAATATAGTATGAAAAAACTAGTGCTAACAAAGTATGCTCTCGAACACAAATTACAGAAATAGGCTGCAATACTAATAAAGACCAATATTCCTTATTTTTCATGTGCGTGTGTATATATTCTTTATATTTTTTAATTAAAATGTAAAAGTTCATTAGGTTACATAAAAAAATAAAGGAAAACAAATTAAGTACAAAAATTATCATGAGACCAGTATATAATTTTAACCTGAATGAATGTTTGCACTAAGTACCCCGGGGGCACTGAATGTCATATTTGATAGGGCCTAAAAGGAATTGTAAAGTGATAACATTCAGAGCAACCAGATGTGAAAAGGACTGATAGTTAAGTACAAAAATTATCATGAGACCAGTATATAATTTTAACCTGAATGGATGTTTGCACTAAGTACCCCGGGGGCACTGAATGTCATATTTGATAGGGCCTAAAAGGAATTGTAAAGTGATAACATTCAGAGCAACCAGATGTGAAAAGGACTGATAGTTAAGGTGGTTTTCATAAATAATTGCAATTGTCTGCTACTATCTGTAGTCATTCTAAAAAAGTTTTGTTGATTTTATTTTGTATTTTTCAATTTTTCATTGATGATTTCAATACATTTAATGTTAGAGTAGAGAAAATATGAGGTAAGATATAAAGTTTTACTGAAAAAAACTTATGATATTCACTTAGAAGGCTCTAGAGGTTATGCAAGTGAAATACAAATATTTTAAGATGAAAACAAGTATTTTTATTTTTAACATAAAAATCACCTTTCACTTACACTGACTCAGTAAAGGTCTTATAAATTCGTAGACAAATCTTTATTAAAACATACTTTATCACAACATTTAAATTTATGTACAACTGGCATGTAATATTTACTAGAAGCTTGCCAAATTTCTAGAAGATATACTTTATACATTAAGTTACAGCATATTTAATTTCATTGTTACAGGTCAACCAAAATGACACAGTTAACATGCTTAAAGGTCTACTAAAATAATACACAACATTGAAATCAATACTCAATTAAAAACATTCCTATAATTCAGGCCAATCTATGGCCTCAACATGTTTCAATATTTACCACATCATCTTCAGGAGTGAACTTGCAAGACACAAGTGTCATATTTATTCCTTCTTAGCTAGGTTATGAGTTCTGTGTATAAGCTTACATTTCTGCATAAATCTCAAAGGAAGACCGACCACATTCTTACACAGATATTCACTGGATCTTTGACTATTTATTAACTTATAATATTTTTTAAACCTTATTAATTCTAAAGATTTGCAGATATTATTGGCTTTAATACCATTTGGTTGAGCCAATATTACTGGTTTTTTTACCATAATATCATGTGTTTTTTGTATATGTTCTGCTCTGGCCAAATTTTCAGTCCTTTAATTTTTGTACACATCATTATTTACTGCAAAACAATATTTTATACCAAGTTTTATATGTCCAATATAAACACTTCCACATTCAATTTTATAAATACCAGCTTTTTCCATTAACTGTATATTATCTTCAGTATTACTGTATTACCTAACATTTGTTTTACCTTATACATTGATTTAAATATAGAGTAAAACATTTGTTTTTAAATATTCTGAATAGACAAGAAGTTAAACATGAAACACTAAACATTCTATTTTAATTTCATCATAACTCAGTTTTAAGGTAATACCTTAATCTGTTATTAGCACACTAGCAAATTTCTTAACTGCTCTCTCTACAATAGTTGGATTAAATTCTCTTTCAACTGCTGTATATTTCATTAGTAACAACTCATTTTTTAACTCCTCTTGTTTTGTACACATCTTCAAAATTCTAACATCCAAAAGTCTTTATTGTTAGTGTTAACACATTTTGCCAACCACTCCTCTTATTCCCTTTTCAATCACCTAATTTCACTTTTAACCATTTCTGTAGTACTTTTATTAGTCTCAAAGCCTTCCATCTTAGCAATCTGAATCTGTAAGCTGTTTGGTTTTAAGTTTGGCATTTGTCTACTTTCATCCCCATCTGATCAGACTTACTCCATGTTTGAAGTAATTTATCCTTGGAAGTTCATATATATATATAAACATAAGTTTCAGATACCTGAAGATCACAGGAGATCAAAGAATTGCTCTACTGACCTTTTCTAGAAGATTGATGACATGAGGAGTTACACTTATTACTAGACCTCAGGACTACAATTTCAGACAGATTCCTATAAACCATTAATGTTACATGGTCAAAATGAACATACACCACTCATTGAGTGGTAATTTTTTAAGCTTTTTATTAGGACAAAGGTGTAAGGGATGTGTGCTGCTACATCTGTTTTTATATTCACTATCCTATTAAACAAAAAGCTTTAAACATGTTGTATAAAAAAAATATTTGCTTTCATTGACCAACACAAGGTTAACAACATTAGGCACCCAAAAAATGTAGAAATCTGAATAGACGTATCACAATCACATCCATGTAACTAGCATGGCAGCCATCTTGTTTCATGCTCTCAGCTAAAGTAATGTTTAAGTACTAAGTCACATGTGATTTAAGGAAACAGCATTGAAATGTTCATTTAGCAAGTAAACAAATACTTTAATTTCTAGTCAGGTTAGAATACTATCATAACATGAACATGTACAAAGCTTTGATTCCTATATAAATTTAAATTAGTATATTCATTATTTTGAAGAGTGCAATCAAAATATCAAGCGAGAAGGAGCACAAACATGAGCCCAAGCCTAAAATTTAATATCTCATACACATAAATTATGGAACATCAAGACCTTTTGGCCTATTACATCTGTAAGTAGTGTTCTACTACAACTACTAATCCTAAAACTTTTATCATAATTTATTAAAATTCAAGTACTTACATCAAAGGAGAAAACAATATCAACAAATGCATTATGATTAAAAATTATGAATTATCACTGTGAAAAAACAGCTACCATTTCCTTCAAATACCTAGTTTAATAGTACTATTATATTTTATCAAAATTAATGGCTTATCATTCCTTGGTATAATCATACATAACATTAAAAAAAATGTTTTAATATAATTATATACATTAGTTTTTCTCCCATGAAGCTGATAATATTTCAATATTTAAAAAAAGAACCTACATTCATTACTACAAAAATTTTTATGGCATGAATGCCTTTTCCAAGCTGGTGAAGCCTGATAATTTACTAGCAGAGACCCACAAAACATTTGCAGCCAAATTAGTATCTTTATTGCAACAGTACTTATTTAAATACAGGATTTCTAGAGTAATACAAAAGAATTCTAATTGCAGACATTGAAATGTATAAGGCCACTTGTTTTAGTCCTAAAATTAGTTAAGCCTTTATTGAGTACGGCCTATATTCGATAAAGACATAAATTAACACTGTAACTTGTGTATGTTTTTTGCTTTAGTTCAGTGAGGGCTAAACCTTACTGCAGTTAATACTATCAATAAATAATCTTCTAATATTATTCTATTTAAAAAAATAAGTAATAGGTATAATACTAATGTCTTATGAGTATGACAAGTACAGTTATTACTTCTCATCTCCTAACCAATGTATAACATGATTTATTGCCAGAGATCATTTGTAAACAAAACAACTTTGGAAATAAATTCTTAACATTTTTATTGGTTTCTTTTAACTGAAAAATAAAATGTACAAATTATATAACTAATTTTAAACATTAAGTCTGTATATTAGGCAAAATTCACTACTGATACTAATTAGATTTTAAAGTTCATTAAACTCAAATGATTACTTAATAACAACTAAAACATAATTTCAATAAATTAGCAATTTACTTTAATTTGTACAATTTAAAACAGATACTATAAACTTGACCACTTTTAATTATACTACAAACCTTCTGAATGGTTGCAGGATTGGGTGGTGGTCTACCCTTCTGGTGTGGCACAAAGGCAACAGACATTTTGTTTCAGATTTTGCTATAAAAATCAACATGGGATAAAAGTTATATATAACCTTTCAACAGCATCAAAATCATGCCTGGTGTCTCTTGCCTTTACTGTTTACATCAATGCTCTGTTTTGACAATAGGTGTAAAGATCAAAGCATGTAAATCTTGAGATCATAAACTACTAGTACTACTACTATTTGTTACTTGTTTTAACAACAGATGAAGAAAAACCATCATTTCTGTTTATTCCTAATGTAACAAATTATAACACAAAACTTACTTATACACCTATTTAACTGAATACTTTAATTTTGTGAAATCAGTTTTTAAAATAAATGTACTTCTATAAGTAACTATAAGTTCTTATGAAAATTTCTTCTAAAAAGTGCAATTATATTTCTAAACAAGTACATATTTTCCCCACTGAAGAAATAACTTCAAGTTTAACATCAGGCTAGTGATATTCAATGTACATAAATAAACAAAGCACGATTTAGTATCTATAACTTGTAAACGATACTGGTAATGTGGTAATATTAACACATTTAAGTACATCACTATCAGTGTCTTGACATTAGTAAATCGCTATTTTAAGTTTAACTTCTAAATTGTATGTTACTGTTAGGCTTATCTTAAATTAGATTTTTTTATATAAATTTCTTTAAGTTCAGGTAAATTAAATAAATTGAAATACATAATAACAAGATCTAGAATGTGATTTCTAAATTTTACTAAAACGAGAATATAAATCGAGTTGTACTACTTGAAAATTAACTTACTTGATAAATTATACTACAACGCAATACAAGCTAAACAGAACTTCAATAAAAATGCCTTCCGTTAAAAAATGTGTCGCTATTGTCATACTAAGCTACACAAAGCGGCATCTACATAAGCAAAATAATGATCTTAAAGTTGAGTTGATAACGTGGTATTATTTTAAATATATATATATATATATATATATATCGAGTCTGATTATTCCAGACACTCCTTATTAAGGATATAAGATCTTCTGATTTGACACACGTATTCCGTGATACTGAAACACTTATTCAAAAGGCTTTTAGGATTTTATGGTCTGGCTCCCAAATTATTTTAATTTGCTTTTGTTTGACATTAAGCACGAAACTACACAAATGCCCCCAAAGGGAATTAAACTATGAATTTTAGTGTTATAAGACCTCAAGCTAACTGTTTAGCCGATGGTACTAGACCTTGTTTGTTCTTATAATAATAATAAATCATGAACATCAAAAGTCATTTTGGCCTATCAAGAATATCCCGACTCCCATTCTTTTTCAACAAACAGGAAAGCAAATATAATTACTTGTGGCATTTTCCGCTGAATTGCTTTCCCACAGAAATTAGATAGGACCTGCTAACTTGAGGTCAGAAAATAATACTGTTACGTCTCTGATCGTTTGTTAATTTCCCGTATAATTTCTTTCGGGTGAAACTTTAGCGATACAAGTCCTTTCTTAAATAAAACTAGTTTATTCTTTCTCAATACAACTTTGCAACACATTTAATTTCCACAGTCACTTTAACTTTAACACACACTATAATTCACAACGATTCACGCATTTTACTTACGGTAATTGACTCAATTGTCTGTCTCTATATCTGCCTGTCTGCAGTTATCTATCTCGTCACTTCTTGCCGGTCTTATATATTGTTACGCCTCCAGTCGTTAGTTAATTTTCCGTAAATTCTTTCCGACTAAACTTTAGCGACACAAGTCCTTTCTTAAATAAAACTGGTTTATTTCCGAATACAACTTTACGATACACTTAATTTCAACAGTCGCGCTATAATTCTCAACGAACGTCTCACGTGCTCGAGTTCAATTACACACTCTCTGACTGCAGTTCACTTACTCACTACACTGTTGTCCCGTCACGTTGTCAACGTCTTATATATATACAAGACTAACACATATTTAGTAAATGCTAGGGCATTCTTGAAGGAACAGGATATTTCTAGAAAACGGGTGGCGTGATACTAGTCACGTGACCTCGCTGACGCAACAATATATATACTATAAAAGCGTACATCTCGTCTCTTCGTGAATCTTCTACATACTCATCACGTGTTACTAGTGTCGCGTGACTTCTGCTGTCGTAACACTGCCCCTTCTTTAGTATTGTTCGTAACAATAGCCACTTACATTAAACCAATAGATAATTAATAATAACTTAATTAAATGTACAGAATTTACAAACACTACAAACACAAAATTAAAATTCAACAAAGTCTCTTAATTTTACGGAATGTATCTTCTTCCGTACTGGTCTCTATCTCGTTGGCTTCTGCTTCACGAGAGGTTCATCTGCTCCATCGGAAATTGTCCTATGATCGGTAACAGTCACATCAGTGGCAGTAACTTCATCAAGGGCTTCACTGTTTTCCTTCTCAAAACCGAGTAGAGTTTCTTCTTTGACAGTGGCCTTTCCAGGTGACACGTCTTCAGTGGCGTCTTTTGTTCCATTGTTCACTTCTGCCCAACTGAAATGTCCTGGACCGTGATAACGCCAAAGTCTGTTGGCATGCATCACCTTTGGCTTACCTCGCCGACCACATCTTATTCGGAAAGTCACATCTAAGAGACGCTTTACTATGCCATATGGGTTTCCCATGGAGAAGACAACTTAGGAGACTTCCTTTTGGTCTTCCTGGGATTATACAACCACACCTTGTCTCCTGG